GAGAGGAATATACAAATTTTGGGCCAAGAGTCAAACTGTTTAAGGCAACAGAGGAAAGCTCTTTTAAACCCATGCTCTTTTTTTTTCTTTTTTTTTTTTTTTTTTGAGACAGTGTCTTGCTCTGTTGCCCAGGCTGGAGTGCAGTGGCACGATCTTGGCCCACTGCAACCTTCATCTCCCGGGTTCAAGCAATTCTCCTGCCTCAGCCTCCTGAGTAGCTGGGACTACAGGCATGTACCACCACAGCCGTCTAATTTTTGCATTTTTAGTAAAGATGGGATTTCAGCATGTTGGCCAGGCTGGTCTTGAACCCCTGACCTCAGGTGATCTGCCTGCCTCAGCCTCCCAAAGTGTTGGGATTACAGGCGTGAGCCACTGTGCCTGGTCCCCAGGCTCTTTTTTGGTTAACAGAAAAATGGGTACCCTCCTTTTGTGCAAATTGAATTTTCACAGTAAATTAAAGAGCATAATCAAACCAATTTTAAACAGAGGTATCTTAAGAAGAGGAAACATTGTAGTTTAATTTTAGGAGAAACATGTCTTTGGCTTGTTTCCTATAAACCTATTTATCCTAGGTAATATAAGGAAGATAGAATGTAACATATGTTAATTAATTTGCCCCACATTTCATTGGAATATAAGCTGAGTGCCACTCAGGAGAAAGAGACCTACCAATGGCAACTTTCCTCTGTTGCCTTGGGCACTTTGGCTCTTGGTCCCAAATTTGTATATTCCTCTTAGCAAAGCAGAATCCCTGCAGATAACTGGAGATTATACTTTTGACTTGAGCGTGCTTTTAGGAAGTATTACTCCCTATACCCCTCTTTCCCATTCCCACTCAAGTAAGTGATCTTTCCAATATCATAAAGCACTAAGGTGAGGTTTTGTAAATTTTTCTTCTGTATTTTCTGTGACATTTTAGTGGCCCTTATAGATTGGCTAGCCCACTCATTAACCTGACTGTTTCCCTAGAAGATTTGGAGGTCATCTCACACTTTAAACTCTCGATTTCCTTTTCCCTAAACATGCTCCTTTCCCAGTCAGCCTGTTTAATAAATCCATTTGTCTCATCTCCACTGCTGCTACCCTAGTCCAAGGATCCATCATCTTTCTTTCTTTCTTTTTTCAGATTCAAAGTGGTTATTATTATTATTATTATCCTACCTGCATTGGGTTTTCAGTCCCAGTGGGGATTGAGAAACCTGGTGAGACCAGTAGCATCCCTGGGGGGTAAACACAAGACTCATCCACATTGCTCCCAGCTGCCCTGGCCTTCCTACAACTCTTAGAGGTTTGCAGTCCCTATTTCTCATAGCCAGCTATGTAATGGTATCTTTCCCTGAAATAGTAGAGACTTTGGGCAGCATCCCGTTCCAGGTGGATAACTACACCCTGAAACACTTCTTTCCATGACTGAAGGTGAGAGGCTGAAGGGGATGGTCTTTACACTCTGTGGCCCTGTGCGTTCCTTTCCAGCGCCATTTTTGCTCTCATGCGCCTGAGTCTGGGCCTCATCTGCCAGGTGGGCTACGCTCTGCTTAGCCCCCACATCACAGAAAACTTGTCTTCTCACCGAAGACCATGAAGTGAATGTTTACTAAAGCAGCAGCATTATCCTGCACCAGAGTTAGAAAGTGGACAGGCAAGGATCTCTGTAGATAGTGGAGAAGTAGGTAACACCATCTACAAATGCATGTTGGTTTTGCGCCATCATTTTTCTTGACTCAAATGGCCTCCTATCTGGTCTGGTTGTGTTCATTTTATCTCTTATGGTCTTTTTTTTGCTCTTCTCTCCCTCATGTACTGTGCTCTAGCCACATTGCTGAGATATATCAAGATTTCTTCCCCAGATGTACCAAGCTTGTTCCTGCTTTACACGTTTGCACCAGCTGTTTCTTCTGCCTGGAATGCTCTTTCCCAGAACTTGGCATGGTGGGCCCCTTTGTGTTACTCAGTTTTCGGATTTCACATCCTCCAGAGGTCCTCTTTGATCTTCCAGTGTAAAGTAGCTCCTGCTTCATTGCAGCACCCTGTTTCATTTTCCTCATAGCATTCAGCAATCCTAAACCATCTTTATATGTTTGTCTCTTGTTTATCATTTTCTTCTTCCCTCATTGGAATTTAAGTACCATGAGACCGTACATCTTCTCTGGCTTGTCCATCCTATAATCCTAACACTTACAGCAATGCTTGATAAATCTTATCTAAATGAAAAAAATCAGTGAATGAACCAAAGAGATAGAGAAATATACTTTTTTCTTTATAAAACTTTAATTTTTAATTGACATAGGAGTTTACATTTTTATGGGGTATGTAATGATGTTTTGATACATATAGTGTATAGTGATACAATCAGGTTAATTAGCATGTCCTCATCTCAAACATTTATCATTTCTTTGTGATGGAAATATTTAATATCCTCTTTCTAGCTATTTGAAACTATTTATTATTGTTAACTATAGTCATCTACAGTGGTATAGTATACTAGGACTTATTCCTCTTACCTTGCTATAATTTTGTATCCTTTAGGAAATCTTTTCCTATCCCCACTAGAAATGTACCTTTTAATACCTTGAGATTGCTGGAACCAGCTGTTGATGTAGTAAGGGAGGAAGGCAACGTGGCAGGGCACAAAAACGCTTTCCCAGTCCTGGTTAAAGTATATAATAAAGAGTGTGGCTCTAACAATGAGTGTAACCATTCAGGAAAAAAACAATTTCTCATTGAAAAAGGAGTGAGTTATTCAAACAAACTGGAATCAAGTTAATTATGTGGATTTCCTGTACTACTACTAACTTCAGTCGTTAAGCTAAGTAGTTAGACAATTTGATCCTCCAGGCCAAAAAAGATACTTGATTGTAAATGGTGTTTTTAATAATTTTAAAGCATTACAGTTGAATGCAATAGAAGGAAAACTCTTAGTGTTCTTATAGGGTTCATAACAGCATGCTCATAATGACAGGATGCTCATTACCATCATTAGATTGTACTTTATAATGCTAGAATTTGTGTTTTCTATAGTCTTTTAAAATAACTGCTATGTTGTGGGCTAGAAAAGATTATGGAAATATGATACCTCTAAAATACACTCTGAAGAATTTTTTTATATTGAAAAGAAAATGAGAAAGTACTCTTAAAACGTGTAAAAAATAAAAATAGGTTACCATTCAATTGCTGGTGTGACTTTGTTGTTTAGTTTATAAACTGTTTTTTTTTTTAAATTTTTTATTTTTTTATAAACTGGTATTTTTATTGGCCTCTGAAGATAATGAGCAATAATCAACTTAGTGACTTATGTTAAATACATCTGAGTTAAAGTTTCTGTTTTTGTTTTCTTTCTTTTTTATATAACTCTGTTATTTAGGCTGGAGTGCAGTGGCACCATGTTGGCTCACTGCAGCCTCCACCTCCCAGGTTCAAGCAATTCTCCTGTCTCAACCTTCTGAGTAGCTGGGATTACAGGTATATGCTACTACACCTGGCTAATTTTTGTATTTTTAGTAGAGATGGGGTTTCACCATGTTGTCAAGGCTGGTCTTGAACTCCTGACCTCAGGTGATTCGCCCACCTTGGCCTCCCAAAATGTTGGGATTACAGATGTGAGCCACCGCACCTGGCCATTGTCTGGTTCTTTTCTTTCACATTCAGATAGTTTTGGGAAAAAGTAATAGTAAATCTAATGTGGGGTCTGAGTTAGTTTATTTAAGCCAACATTTTTTGAATTTATTTTTAAATGACTCTTGCCCTTCCAAGTCACTATGGAGGGAAGTTGAACATTTATCTCAACTATGCTTCCATTCATTAAACTACTTTTATAGGTTCCTTTTAAGAATTGCTTCACAGCCAGTTTTTGAATTATGAAACAAAATTAGCCTTCTTGCTTTAGTTTATAAATTAAAGACCTCATCTTTTTATAACAAAATTAAGCATATTACTTTCTCAGTCGACTTCATGTTAGTATTTTATTAACTTATGAAGCCTATGCAGCTGTTATGCAGTTGAACTTATGACTTCTAAGATCATAAATTATCTTGTACAGTAAATATGTGATGAGCAAGAAACATTATATAACTTTGTGGAATAAAGACTGAAAAAAAAAACCAGGCCGGGTACAGTGGCTCATGCCTATAATCCTGACACTTTGGGAGACAAGATGGGAAGATCACTTGAGTTCAGGAGTTCGAGACCACCCTGGATAACATAGTGAGACCTCCTCTCTGAAAAAAAAGGAAAAAAAGCCAGGTGTGGTAGGCAGCACCTATGGTCCCAGCTGCTTGGGAAGCTGAAGTGGGAGGATCACTTGAGCCAGGGAGATTGAGGCTGCAGTGAGTAGATATTGCACCACTGCACTCCAGCCTGGGCTACAGAGCGGGACCTTGTCTTGAAAAACAAAAGAAAACACCAATCTGTTCAGACCTGGGTGACTACCCCCTGCCTTTTAAATTTGCATTTTTCCTGAAATTGAGTGTGCATTGTGCTTTCCTGCAGATGAAAGTTAGGGTGTGACAAATCTAAAGGAAGCATCGTACCTTTGTGGAAGGAAAGAAAACGATCTGGTACCAGAAAAAGGGCGAAAGTGGGCTCTTTTTTGTACTAACAGAATGAAAGCTAAGAGTCCATATTTAAAATGTGATCACAAAACTATTCTTATTTTATAGTTCTTGGCATAAGAATAGACATGTGCTTTGGATAATATACCTACTTTTAAAAGTTGAGATATGCTTTTTTGAGAGAAGTAGTTGAAATACACTGTTGGTGTGCTTCAACTGGTTAGAACACATGTAAGTTTTATTCATTGTGAAATAAATGAATTATCTGTTTTAGGATAAGTCTTATTGTCTTGGCTTCCATGACAATTAAAGGCTTCTATTTTGTTCTATAAGCCAGTGTTTTAATCTGTTATGTATAAAGATACTTTTTGTTTAGTATTATAAGTATATGAGTTTTTAAGTTTGTTTTTTAAAAATATTTTCTTTCTTCTCTTTCTGCATTTTTTAAAGCTGCACATCATTGACTCCTGGGCCCAACTGTGACCGATTTAAATTGCACATACCATATGCTGGAGAGACATTAAAATGTAAGTAAATGATGACTATTTTACTTGAAATGTAGGTTACAGTGTCACCTATTGGACTTTGTGCTTTAGTTTTCATTTCCTGCTGTTAGTTGTTATCTCCTAAGATATTGATCACCAGGATTTACCACTTTTCTTATCTGTCATTCAATTCTAGTTTGATTAAAAGTAAGGCAGTTGGCAGGGAATAAGTTGTGGTTAAATAGGCATGCCCGGTAATTTTTATGTGTTTTTTTCTCTATAGGTGGCTTACATAATACTCAATAAAGAGTCCATTGCTTTAGAATACCTGGCCATTTAGAAACAGTTTTTAGGTAGGAGTGGCTGCTGTTCATCATTGCTGCTAACCCCTGTTTGGAACCGCTGTGCCACAACTTGTCATTGATGTCTCCTGTTGTTTCCGAAGTATAAGAGTCCTATCTCAAAAACGCTTGGCATGGCTTGGGCATATCAACATGTTATCCCCTTTACAGCAAAGATCAGAGATACAAATGGTCTGCAAGAGTTAGACTGGTAACATAGTGAGGGAAACAAGCGAAGTGTGGCAAATTGGGACACCCTGTCGCCTAAGGGGAGTACCTCTACTAATTTATTGAGAGAAGGTGGAAATCTGAAATTTTACATGAATTATGTCAATTTTAGATATTGCTACTTTTTCAAAATTAAAAACACGGTGTGGGCCAATATTATGCAGGCTAAACTGAACATGTCTGTGGGCTGACTTGAGTTCCTGGACCACAGGTTTTTGATCTTGGATGGATAGTATGGAAGATCTGTCTTTGGACTTACCCTACCAGCTACAGCAGCCATCAAGTCTGTATCAGCCTTTCTATGTCACTATTAACTAATACTGAAGCTCCAGCCTAGTGTGGAAATCTCAATGGCTTTGGCTAGTTATTGTTGGTAATCTCACCAGGAATTTTCTCTCTTGAACCTATACTTGTGGTGAACAGCCTATTATTCTATTCTTGAAAAGAAAAATAAAGAACATGAGTATTAAACATGGGACAGATGGGTAAACTGCTTTTTTGGCCTGTGGACCAGCGTGTTCTATCATTACACACCAGGTGGGGCCACGTTTCTGTGTAGTATTTTGTATTCTTAGTACTATATTCTGTAGAATCACTTGATACTAATTTATCAAATGCAACATTAAATGAAAAATGTACGACGTGTACTTGTCAGACTTGCATTATTAGACCATTTTCTAGAAATTGTTAAAATATAAAATAATTTTACCTGTCTGAAGTAGTAGGACAGATTTGATTGCTACTGTTTTGAAAAATTATTAACTAAATTTAAAAGAAATTATCAAAGTAAATAATTCATGTGGTTAAAAATGTAAAAGTACTGTAATTTTTTGATACATGATACATGAAACCAGTAGTCTTCTCTTTCAGTCTAGTTTCCTGAGAGAATCACTTACAGATTCTAAAAATTGTTCAGTTTAGCTCTCTGGGGATGATCTCCATATCTTTAAATAACATACTTTTGCCTCTGTTTCTTGCCTTATCAGTTTTAGACATTGTTATCTTCTGACTTCCTGTGCTGATACATGAAGCATCAGCGTATTTTCCTTATACCCCTTAACTCTTTCTTCTTTTCCTTCTTAATGTAATTATATCACCATTATTGGTTCCTGTGTTGGTTACCCTGTAGCTTAAAAAGTTTTACCTACTTTTTTAAATAGATCACTTTAGATGTTGTATTACACAGTTAAGTGAGTAGCCCCTAAGAATTCTTAGTAAGTATCTGGCACACAGTAAGTATTGTTATTACTTAAGGAAAATCTCTATGCAAGAATGGTGAACACTTAGTGTAGTATACTTTTTAGTTTTCCGTTAACCAACCATAGATAACTGTGTCTTTTGGCTCTGCATTTTATAAGATGAAGATATTGCCATTCCTTTAATTCCTCTTCCTTCACCTCTCAAATTTTGTCTTTGGTTATTTTCCTTTTGCATTTTCAAGTTTGGTAACTTACTGTTTGTTCTAAATCTGTAGTTGTCTTCTGTGCCTTGTCTATAAATTTCTTGAATGATTGCTTTGTAGGCCTGTTCCTTCATAATTATTACTGTGAGATTTGCCTTTGTTATTCTTTTGAATTTGACTTTGTTTTGTAGAATCTATGTATCATAGATTCTATGTTTTATAGAATGATATCTTGGTAAACAGGTTACCTGCTTATCTTGCTGGAACCCCTTGTCAAATAACTTGCTCAGATTCCGTTCTCTCCACCCTTCTGCCTTTCCTTTAGCCCATCTGATAATTTTTTTATTACCACAGACACATTTGGGTGTCTTAATTTCTAAAAGCTCTTTCTTGCCCTGTTTCTCGTTCTCAGCATCTTGTTCTTATTTTATGAATATAGGTTATTTTAAATCCTTCAAAGAATAAAATTTAGAGATTTTTTTTTAAAAAAGTTTTCTTCTGTTACCTGAATTATTTTAATTTTTCCTAGGGATTATATTTTTGTTTATCGTATTTTTCCCCTCTTTTATACTATAGGTTTTCTTCAATAAAAAGGCATTCATTTATGTTTAAGATAGACAATGAAATACTGATTGGGAGTTCTGAGTAGGTGAGCAAGAATTATGGAATGTGTCGATGGATGATGGGCCAGATGTGAGTCAACTGTTGTAGCTCTCCTCACATAGTTTTTTCTATTTCTTCAGTGACTATCTGTGGATACATACCTGGTAACCATGTCATTTTCAGAGGGTGGATATATTCCCTGAGGAGCTTTTGCTTACTCTCCATGTTCTTAGCCCTGTGTCTCATTCTTGCCACCCCTTCCACTGGTTACTCCTCATCAGTAACCTCTTCCTCACATTATTGCAGGCCAAACCTTTTCTCTGCCCTGTCTTGTAAGTACTACACTTCCATCTGCCTTGTGCCTTCTAGCAATTTGCTAAACTTTCTCATCTACTGATTACTACTCTCTTCCTTTCCTCTTCATCTTCTTGTTGTTTGGGATTTTATCTTTCTATGTTCAGTATTATTTAATGGGATTGGGGGGTGAGTCTTGGAGAAGAAATAAGTGTGTGTGGTCAGTCCACAGTCTTGAGACAAAAATAACATGACTTCAAAGGCATCTTTCTAGTAGTATGGGTTTATGTTAGGAAGCATTTATTGGTACACCCTATACCCTTTCACTGCTATAAGATCTTCATGGGAAACCTTTAATAACGTTTGTGATTAGGGTATTAGGACTGTCACTCAACATATAACATAATTATATTTTAGCAAACAATTATTGGTATCATTGTTATATATTAGGGACTTAATTTAGCCCACAGTTTGCTCTATAATAAATAAATAATAAGTGAATATTGTATATGGGCAATTGTTACACTAAAGTGAGTCAAGATTCTATTGTAAAGCAGCTCACAGCCAAATAAAAGGAAAAGATAATTGACCGTGGAAACTCTATTTATAAAAGTTCATAGAATTAGAAAGATGAGGTTTTGTTTTCTAAAAAAACACATGTATGTATATATGTATATAACACACACACACACACACACACACATATATATGTACCCACATACACACACATATATATGTTTTGTGTTTTGTTTTTTGAGACAGATTCTTGCAGTGTTTCCCAGGCTGGACTTCTTGGGCTCAAGTGTTCTTTCTGCATCAGCCTGCTAAGTAGCTGATACTACAGTATCCATAGGGGATTGGTTCTAAGACCTCCTGTGCAGGTCCCTGATATAAAATGGAATAGTATTAATGCATAACCTATGCCCATCTTCCTGTGTACAGGCATACCTCATTTTATTGTGCTTCAACAAGGCTATTGTGGGTTTTTTTTTTTCAAATTATTGCAGGTTTGTGGCAATCCAACGTTGAGCAGGTTTATCAGGGCCGTTTCCCCAAAGCATGTGTTCATTTCATGCCTTTGTGTCACATTTTGGTAATTTTTGTAAGATTCCAAACTTTTTAATTATTATTTTTTTAAACTTAAAAATTTTGACTTTTTGAATCATGAAGTGTTTCCACATACTTTTTCATTATTATTCTGTTGTAGTGATCCGTGATTAGTAATCTTGAACATTACTATTGTCATTGTTTGGAGATGCCATGAACCATACATACCCATCTAAGACAGTGAATTTAATCAATAAATGTGTATGTTCTGATTGCCATACTGACCGACCTGTTTCCTTTCTCCCTCTCCTTGGGCCTCCTTATTACCTGAGACACAGCAGTGTTGAAATTAGGCCAGTTAGTAACCTTGCAAAGTCCTCTATGTGTTCAAGTGAAGAGTCCCACACTTGTCATCTTAAATCAAAAGCTAGAAATGATGTTTAGTATGGAAGGCATATTGAAAGCTGAGACAGGCTGAAAGTTAGGCTTCTTGGCCGAACTGTTAACTATGTTGTGAATGCAAAGAAAAATTTCTTGAAGTAAATTAAAAGTACTACTCTAGTAAACACATGAATTGTAAGAAAGTGAAATAATTATTGCTGATATGGAGAAAGCTTTAGTGGTTTGAATGAAACATCAAACCAGCCACAGCATTTCCTTAAGCCAGAGTCTAATCAAGAACAAGTCCTAACTCTCTTTAATTCTAAGAAGATTGAGAGAGGTGAGGAAGCCACAGAAGACAATTTGAAGCTAGCAGAGGTTGGCTCATGAGGTTTAAGAAAAGAGGCCATTTCCATCACATAGAAGTGCAAGGTTAAGCAGCAAGTGCTCAAACAGAAGATGCAGCAAGTAATCCAGATCTAGCTAAGATCATTGATGAAGGTGGCTACACTTAGCAACAGATTTTCAGTCTAGATGAAACAGACTTATGTTGGAAGAAGATGCCTCTAGGACTCTCATAGTTAGAGAGAAGTCAATGCCTGGCCTCAAAGGACAGGCTGACTCTCTTGTTAGGGACAAAGGCAGCTAATGACTAATTTGAAGCCAAGGTCATTTACCATTCTGAAAAATCCTAAGGCCCATAAGAATTATGCTAAATTCCACTCTGCCTGTGTTCTACAGTGGAA